GGAACAGATAATGTCCAAGGACAAATATCCGAGCATATTTTCGCGCCAAATGGAGGCTATTGTTTATATATGCAACGGTTTTCCTCTATTTTGATTGGCTGTATTTTCTATGGCGTGGTATAAAGGCTTGTACATGTATGTGGAGCTTCGTGCGATATTTGTATTAAGTCACAATGGCCTCTTTTCCTGAGCTTGGTTTTATTTTCTTGTTAAACGAGCGAGTTCAGAATCACATGGGAACAATCATCTTTTACGTTTTGCAGAAGCAAAGATTCTCTTTTTACACTAGCGACGACACTAAGGCCTCATGAATTGGACACTTTTAGTACCAAATACTTAACCATGTCTGGACCACAGTGCCCTGTGGCCCAATCTCCTGATAACGGGAGGAATGAATATCTGGTAGTGGAGGATAGTAACTGTAACAACAGTGAGGAAAGTAATTCATACAGCTGCAAAACGGAGAATGGTGCTCGTTCAAGTCCGAAACGTCCAGGTTGGTTTGGTAAAGGTTACGCGAAAGCAAAGAAACCGAGCAAGAAAAGAAGACTAAGATGATGACTACCCACGGTTCAACCGGCAACAGACTTCAACTAATAATATTATATATTGTTACGAAAGTACTGAGGGGTGTAACCAAGAGCAACCTTTACAGAGTAGCTGCAATTCGTCAGCGTTGGAGGAAAATATTGAAATATGCCACTTAATTTTGCTCTCTTATTGTGTTAGTTATTGGCTATGAGAGTATAATGGACATACATGATTGAACCAGTACTGGATTCATGAATGCCCCTTCGGTAACGCTTATTAATTATGCAAAGAAATGCGCCGAAGGAAACTTCAACAATACATCAGGCTTAATTGGTCGAACCATCCATGGTTTGTATCTTTGCTTGACTGGGTCTCGGCAAGATACAAACCATGGCTTGACCAAACTCGCCAGATATGCCGCCGAAGCCTATCTAAATGGTACGTTAGGTGTAACAACTATATCTCCAGTGATGACCTTGAAAAACAATTCTGTTCAAAATAGGTGTGGCAGGTATT